AAACCTTTCTCGTGCGCACTTTTAAAGAGAACTGACAAGGAAGCACCGATGAAGTAGTCCGCTTATAGTTATGCGCATGCTCATTCGGATACAATCCGTCTCATCTGCTTCTCTGGTGAGATAACAGTTTTAAAATCCCCATTATCAATCAAGATATTCATTCCACTCCACAATAGAATTAGTACTTGCGTGCCTAAGTTAAAATTTGTTAAAAATTATTTTGCGAGGATGAAAATATCATGTTTGAACAAATAACAAGGTTTTATATTGCTTTTGATCTTAGAACAAGATATAAATGTATCGTTGACAAACTTGGTAAAACAGTATATTGCTCCTTTTGTGCTATTTCCCCACCTCCCCATCCTATTCCCCAACAACTTCTGCCTGAAGTAAATCAACTCTTAAGGCAAGTCTGCACGTCTCCAATGTACCCCTAACTACATGATATGATTAAGTTTCAATATATCTTTTACGGAAAAAGTACATATAAATATAATATTGATCTACATTAAGCAGCTAGGTTGGCAAGTAGGGATAAATAATAAATGTAGTTAAAGTCGGGAGCTTTGAGTTGGAAACGGATATCAACAGGTGAAGAAAAAGAAACTCGTGGAGATATTATGCTTTTGTCGCCGACTTCTCGTCTGAACGATCTTATATTCCTTGGCAATGTAACAGTTTACTGTATTTTTGGATCAGGCACTGATTATAATAATTCCGGACGGTATTACTTCCATTATTACGAAAATGTACCCAATCCATAAAAGAGGGTTGCCATAAATACTCATTTTCCCGGACATGTCCTCCTTTGCAGTCCTAAAATCTCCGTCAAGCCGGAGTTTTTAAAATCTCTACAAATGTCTGGAATTTTTTTTCCTGTTCGTTCATTATCAAACAAATTTAGATATGTTTACATAAAAAGATGCGATCTACAAAGAAAAATCATTGAGTACATCATGAAGATGATTATATAGGAATGGGAAAAGAAAAGTCAACAGATCACAGTATATTATATAGTACATACTTACGTTGTTTACTCACTGTTGCTAGTTTTATATGCTGATTATGGATTAACGTGATACTATATATATAGTGTGTATGTGTTTTATATTAGGTTTACCATATTTGAATTTTAAAAAAGAGGACACTCCGAAGAGTAGGTGTATCAGTACATGTATCTCAGTATCTACCAACTCCTATTGTATTCATGAATTATATCATTATTATTATTATAGGGTGGTAGATACTGATTCAGATACACCCACTCTTTTGGAGTGTCCACTTTTTCAAAGTTCATATATGGTAAACCTAATATAAAAGCACACCGTATTTGCTGAAGTGACACATTGATACGCCAGCGCATTGCTAAATTAGTGTCTATTGTTTGAGTCGACGTGGCTTAACGGCTTTTTCTAACAGCGGTTTTAGTTGGACAAGAAGGTATCAGTCGCAGACCCGGGCAAAATTGAAGCGCCTCAGCAAAATTCTCTTTGGATCAGGGGCCCCGAGTGGCCAAGTGGTCTAAAGCGCTGTCCGTTACGGATCACTGCCATCTCACCTCTGTCTGCGTGAGTTCGAGTCTAGGATTCGGAGAATGTGGATAGGTGAGAAAGCTTGCCAGTAGCTTCTCGAGGGTCGGTGGTTCATTCCGGTGATTTCCCGGTTTTTTTCCTCCACCATTAATACTGGCCGCCATGAATAGCCTATCGTGTGCTGAAAAATGGCGTTAAGCCCAACAACAACAACAACAACAACTATTTGGATCACCTCGCCAACTTTTGCGAGAAATAAATACGCCCAGGATATATTATTGCACCGTAATTTACATAAAATTTGGACTGACAGGAAGATTTACCTTGAAGTTGCGAACAAAATAATTAGTTAAATGCATTCGCCACTTCAAGACCAATCTTTTTTTTTTCGTAAATAGCTGAAGTGGTCCGAACGACAACAATTGGAATACATTCCAGTTTTGATCCGTTGGATTGACCTCGAAGTTGCGAAATACTGTATTCTAAGTGTGATTCAGTGCACGCGACCTGCTAAGGGAAGAATTGTATTAGATTTGCATGTTTTTATTCAGTTAGATATGTTCAATACACGCGTAAAGCTGTTAACTTACGATTGTACAACATATAATCTAGGTAGCTTATGCATACAACTTGAGCGTGAAGAATGCATCAGTCATTAAAGAGCAATACGGTTAGGTCAAGATTTCCTAATATACATAAACAGTCATACTATTATATATTGACTACCCTACTACTCCTGCCATTGACACTGTTTTATTTATTTATTCGTTTACTTTTGATGTGTTTCAGTTTGAATTAAAAAATAAATTAAATAAATTATTGTTCCGTAAAGGTTTTTGGGAAATTAATACTTGTTCATGCTATAATTGTCAAATGTGTACTTAGTAGTTTATATTGTTGTTTATCACAGACATCAGCAACAATTCATGGCAGACGCATTCTTAAAGCTTAGATTATTGCGTGTAGATAACTGTCCCAATACTGCGATGCGGTGATTGATGTGCAAACCAAGGCTCATCTTCGTGTTAACTTCTAATAAAACAATAGCTTAACATCTTTCATAGAAAATATACTTGACATACACAATGAGATGAATGAAGTTTGCAACAATACCGAGAAGTGTATTATTCAGTCGGACCAACCTTTAATCTGGGTCATCAAGGACCGCCCTACTCTATTTATAGCTATACCATCCTGACAAATGTTATTGTACGCCTTCCAACACGGTATTAAAAATATTATTAAATATAAAAATAAATAATGCCATGTTTTCCTATTTATAGAATCTTAGGCCATATTTACCGCTAAAACGTGTACTCTTGGTCAACATGATTTGTAGTTGGAAATTATATTTTTAAAGTACAAACAAAATAAGGCAAGTAAATGAGCTTTCATCACTGTTCAAGGATGGGTCACTTTTATAAAAAAAAACAACAAAACTCTACATCGGATTAATTTTTTATTGGGTGAATTGACTAAACATATAATCATGCTTCTATGGACCTTATAATTAATGGTGCTTTCATTTTTTAAATAACTACAGTAACGTAATAACGTATGGATTGGGGGTGTACGGGTCTGTTTGCCTTGAAAGTCAAAGCTCTTGGCGTGCCGACACCCCTTTGGGCCTTCATCTTCGCCATGTACCCATAGTACGACACTGAATAATTTCATTTACAAGAGTGCGCACGTGTCTATCATTAGGATAGCAGACTGGTTAGGGTTTATAAAAAAAAATCGAGGTTTTAGGGTCAACAGTTTGAATCACGTGTCAACAATTTCTTGACAATGTGTTTGGGTTGAAAGTGCAATGTTATTTGATACACACAGTGATGACTTGTATAAAACCTATAATACATCGTTTAGGCAAATTTGGGCATCCATAAACGTAACTTGGAGATATGTTAATTCAATTTGATTTCATAAGAATTTCGTGATTTAGCAATTTTGTTATAAATGTTCGTGCTGAAATTTTCTAATTGCACCTTATGCAAACCATGCAACCAAGACGCTATCTGAGTCATGACCTAGTTTTGAAAGGTAAATTTTACACCTGAACACAGTCATGTTGAGTAAACTGTCTAAATATAGTAAATGCAAATCTTAAAATCCAGGCGAACTCTTGTGCAAGTGTAACATCCGGAATCAATTACGAGGCAATATTGTGATTCTTGATATGAATCGTCATGACGACGTTTTACAGCTTAGCCCTCAACTGAATTATCTAACGCAGAACGTTCATAGAACAAATCAGAAATGCATTCGCTTAAAAATATATGACTCAAATACGTGAAAATAACTTTGGCGGAGATAGTTTGCAAGTATTCAAGTCATAAACGTACTTGCAAGCTTTGGTCAAAGCTGCAAAAATAAAAGATAGAAAGAAAAATGGATAAAAAAAATGGCAAATTCTACCTAATTGCATCTATTCATGTCTTTAGAGGCCACATCGGACGACAAAAACTAATCTCTGCAGATGAGTGGGCCCATAGTACTGGTTCTGTAACATCTAATAGTGGCCCCCGAGTAACCTGACCATTAGGGATCACAGCCGTCTCACCTCTGCATGCTTGGGTTCAAGTCACGGGCTCGGCCAATAAGGATACGTGAGAAAGTTTGTCTGTAGTTTCTCTTGGGTCGGTGGTTCTTTTCCGGGTTTTCCCGGGTTCTTCCTCCACCATATATACTGGCGCCACGTATAGCATACATTTGGTGAAAAATGGCGTTAAACCCTACAATAACAGCAACTGTAACATCTAATGATATATTGAAGTTTGTAAGACATATCGTCCCTTCGAAGACGTAGCCTATCACACAGTTCTACTGCATCTTGCCAAATTTGATAGTTTCTTTCAAACATATAAATTTGAGAATACTTACAATATACTCTTTTTTTAAATAACACATACTCTCATGACATAACAAAATTTCTTTGTAATTTTTCTTTAAATAATATATACAGAGATTTTTTTTCCAAGAATGCTCTTCAGTTCTTACAATTCCAAAAAAAAAGAAAGAAAGAAAGAAAGAAAGAAAGAAAGAAAGAAAGAAAAGCAATTTTCAGATAATACTTCCAAAGGATAAAAGTCTTGTGTACTTTGGATGTAATACATCTTTTTTTCCCTCAAAATAATGTAATAGTTTTAGTTTATACAGCTGGTCTAAGACGCTATCCATCATTGATCACTGACATGTCGCCTCTATCAGGCGTTTGTTCAAGTCTCGTACTCAGCCAACGTGTGTGAGGGAAAGCGTGCTAGTGGGTAAATGGGAAGACGTACCATTGGGTCTTCCTCCATGATGTGTGTGTGTGTGTGTGTGTGTGTGTGTGTGTGTGTGTGTTTTATGTGCTGCAGTGTGGCAGTTTATATTGATGTTTAGCACTGGAGCATCATGCCGTAAACATGTAGCATGATGTCCCACCCAGTCACTTTATCACTATTAGTACCATTTTTATAAGTCTTTGGTTTGACTTGGCCGGGGTTCGAACCTGCAACCTTCCGCATCCGAGGCGGAAGCTCTAACCAATAGGCCACAGGAGTGGTCTCAAGATATGTAATTGCCACGATGTACAGCCTATGGTTTTAAGCCATGAACAACAACAGAGCATTTTCTACATACCCTAGCCCGCAAGGGATACTTGCATAAACGATCAATTCTGAGCTATTTCTTTTTCAATTGTTTTGTTTTCTTTTTAATATCTTGCGCTATTTTTTTTTTCTTTTCATGTAAAATATAAAATAAAGATTAGGAGCACGTTTATTGCAAAATTATTTTAAAGTTTCCTCTCAAACTTTAATGTGGTCGGACGTCAAAGTTTTAGTCCAAGGATTTTTTTTGTAAAGCTTATGATCCTGTTTTTTTTTTGTGGTGGCTCAGTTGTTAGTGTGCTGTACTCGCGACCGAAATGTTGCCAGTTCGAATCCTACCATCGGATCAGTTAGGTTGATGTGCTGTAAGTCACATAATCAACGCAACATTTGTCACATACATAGAAGCAATAAGAATCATTGTAAAGTCTTATGAAGGGGATGGACTTGATGCCTGATGATACTTCTTTAAAACCAAGTTTTAAAATATGCTGCGCGTCGTTGCCTTTATCCTTATTGTCATCCTCCTCATCGTCACCATCAATGTCATCGGGGTAAAGTGAAACTCATGAGTGTTCAGGAAGTGTCCAGGAAGCACTAACCATAAGATAAACGATTATTTAGAACAAGTGTTCGTCATTGAAATCGACTTCTCATGGTTGCAGCGGAACTTTAATGCATGCCAGTGCATATTATTTATCAAGCATTTTAATTCAACTATGCACATCATAAAAATAAAACTTGTTAGTCACACATGATTTTCAGACTAAAGTGAAACTGTGTAGAAATTGTGTACTACTCTCTAACATTAGCTACAGTACCAACCATTTAAAAACGTATTTACAATATTTTTTTTAAATTAAAATTTTTCTTACCTGCATGAAATCGGGTTCACTCGAACATGCAACTGATTGTAGTAAGCTGTTACTGCGTGGCTCATATACATGCGCTGGTTTATATACACCACTGAGTCAATCCAAACACAAATAGGGGAATTCCGACTCAAAAACTGGGTCAGCGCTTCCTTTGTGTTGACAGATACGATAACATTTTTTTTGTTCAATAGAATGACAAAAGATACGAATGTTTCGATTCGTCTGTTTACACTTTGATTTAAATGTGAGTTTCACAAATATGAATTCCCCCATAGTAGAGCCTTTTTCTTTTTGATACTAAAGATTTGTGGAGAATAAAAAAAAAGTAGTTGTCCTCGCCGGTTATTGTTGATTGGATTTAACTTAATTTGCATACATCATAGTAAAGGAAATTGAAGCTACGATTATTTCCCTAGTTCACCCCGACCAGCCTACAGGGCTGACCCGACGTGTATCGAATTCGCGTCTCGTGGATTTCAAGTCCGACGCTCAACCAACTGAGCTATTGCAACTAGGACTCTGTGTGTGTGCGTGTGTGCGTGCGAACGTGTATGTGTTATGTGTATGTGATGTCTGAAAGATAAGTTACGAGATACAGTTAATGCAAAATAATAATATTATTGTAGCAGAATTACTAAGGCATAGTGACGTATCGGGCATTATCAAAAATACCAATAGCTGGTATTTTTAGCGGCGGAGATTTTGTTGTTGTAGCTACCTATGTTAAATAGCGTAGGTGTTGCACAGGAGTGCACGTCCTGGCCTTTATAAACTAATTTAAAGTAGATTAACAAATCAGACTTTAAATCATATTGAAATGGTTGGCGATAGAATCTTTAATTTACCAGGTCTCTATTTACTCTCAATTTTCGTAACAAAAGGTACTAAAAGGAGGGGGGTAGATAACCGATGGGTTGATTAATGATACTCAGGAATCCTTTGATATTTCCTCTATTTTTTAAAAAGCTGATCTGGCTTAGTGGTTCGTGTGCCGGATCGTTGCATTTGGGTTTGAATCTTTCACCGACAAACCGGGTTATGGGTTGGTTGCAGTGGTGATTCTTTGGAATGGAAATTTACGACCATTGCATCGTCGCTAAATGGTCTTTAATGTGCTGGTGTGGCGTCAATAACCAACTGATCAATCATTACGCTTCAATTCTTGTAGAAGAGACAAGCAGACTTCTATATATGCATGCAGATGGTCGTTAAATTAATACACCATCAATAATTGTGCTGAATGAATTGATGCCGTTTCAAATCCCCTGAATTTTATATCTCACTGTGCTTAGCTATCCTGAAATGCATTTTTGTGAAATTTAAATTCTGCCCACGCACGAAATTTCCTCCACTTTCGTGAAACGTTGTTGTGATTTATGTCAGGCATTATTAACTTTGATCCAAAATGGCCACTAATTTATTATTAATAAAGATATAAAACAATATCAAAGTAATCCATAAATAGGATAGTTGTACAGGAGAGATTTTGTACACTGCCAGAAGTCATTTTGACTTCAACCGCAGGTGGAATATTTAGCATCCAGTGTGACAAAAAAAAACTTAATGAAAACTTTGATTTAAATTAAATTTACATATTTACTTTTTTACGGAAACGTGGGGGGAAGTTCCGTTTTACAGTTGAGTTTATTTTCTGGTTATAAATATTTCCTGATATACTACTTTGATTTAATCACACCAAAGTAGTGTTAACATGACATGGTATGCAATTATGAAACTTACACTTAGTGAACTACAGCTCGTTTCAAACATCGGTGACAAAGCTATCCACACATCTTTTGTAGATAAAAGAAGAACTGTCAGCGGAAAATTGATTTCGAAATTGCTTAGAAAAGTGTTTGTGATCGTAATTACAGTACATCCATAATTTAAGTTAACTCGGTTCAACATTATCCAAAAACATTTAAGGGGTCTTGAACACCAATTTGAATAATCGGAAGTGCTCGAGCCAACCTTGTTTAAGCCAAAATGATTTTACATGTATTTTCAGTACAATCAAGTCTGTTTATTTTTCAGAATGTTTTTATTTTAATTCTTAAAATGAAATTTTGTAAACTGGAACAGTTTTTCGTCATTCTTTTGTCTGAACGCTGAACGATACATATGTTAATGTAAATTAGTAAAATTATTTTTCTTGTTTTATATGTATGTGTAAGGATTACGACTAAGAGCATTCCAAATGGGCATATTGTTGAACCAATCCAACATTTAGTTGAATTATGTTTGACCTTCAGTCGTTAACACTTAGGTATGCGAATGTTCTTTAATGGCATTTTGTCGTCTTTAGACTTATATATGACTTTCCACCGAAACCTGATAACTTTTCTTTCCTCGTTTCATCTTTTCCGTTAAATATTTTAACGAAGAAAAAATATTATGTCAAATATGCATGGATGAACAATAAATACTAGAAAAGTTGATATCGTCAATGTCAAATTAGGTTCGACCTTGAACTAGTGACGTATTTGGGCGTCTACGTAAGGGCTCCGTTGCAAAGCTTACCGATGTGACCCTGCTGTGATAATAGCTAGGACATTTGGATCCAATGCTTCGATACTTATTTTATCGGGTAGCTACGTCCCGACCTTGAACTGGCCTTAAAATAAAGTGACATGTGTGTTAAGAATTTTTTTTTTAACTTGAAACAACTCTTTTGTTAGGGGGTGGGGTGGTTGAGTTTCGTATTTACCAGTGTTTTGATAGTAAAATTTGATTGCCACTTTAGAATAAGAAAAGGTCTTCAGCAAAAAAGTTGTTTCAATAACATAAAATGCATTAAATAAAACAAATTAACCAATTATTGTAAAAGAATCTTCCAAAATCGTTAATCATTAATTATCTCAGTTTTAATAAATATGGCTCGAAATGTTCACTGTTTTTGTTTGTGAACAAAATCAAGCTATTCACGCTTGCTCTTAATAAGGTTCCTTTGTAAAAGAAAGATTATAAAAATTAATTGAATCGTTTGACTAATGTATAGGAGGAGAATGAAAAGTTGCAACCTCAGAGGAAGTAACCTCGCGTATTGAATATATGAGAATGAATTTGTTCACCCGATAATACGTGACAAATAGTCAGACAAAAGAAGAAAAAAATCTCAACAAAGATTTGGCTAACAGTCCTTCAACAAACCCCAACCAAACACCATCTTGAAAGACAAAATGGTTAGTACCTGGCTTGAAAAAAGAGACTTCAGGGAGAGATGAGCAAGGGGGAAATGCGGGATGCGAATCTAAATGGTGCTAGCAATAACAGAAAGTCATACTTGATGAGGATTGCTGATAGCCCTTCGTAGTCCACTGCCACCTCACCGGTAATGGTCAATACGTAAGCTATTGCAAAACAACCGACGAAATTGAAATACCACTTAAAATTCTAAACTCCGAACCAGCATTATTATTAATATTTTCATCCTTAACTAATGCCAATATTACCACCTTCCTTTATAAATATGCACGTATTACGAAGATCTTATATTTACAGTCTAGTAAGACAAATTAGCTGCCAGACTCTATTTATGCCGAACAATACCTTTGTAAGATGATTGTTACATTTTCGACAAATGTCGCGATATGATGGTGATACAGACTTAAGAGAATTGTTTCCGAAACTATGCTTTGAGATGGAGATGAAACTCTAGTACCTGTTCTTTTATTCTAGGTTCATCAACTAGAGCTACCTTGTTTTCAACAAGCGATACGATTTGTATAAAATCAGTCTTAAATACGTAACTTGATCAAATGTCTTTTTCCCACAGGCATGGACATTTTTAAAACATTTTTGGAACATCTGACAAAGATAGGAATACATATCGTCAAATACTTAGGACTGATAATGAGGCCTCTTACCTTTCTGTGTTCCAGAATCTTTTATAATCGTATGAAACACATCCTGGTTTCAGTTATTTGAAACGATATACATTGTGGGGAAATTTTGAACATGTGTATGCTAGCACGCAGATGAAAGCCAATGTCGGAACACAGTTTTATTCGTTAAGATATTATATCTTTTTAGTGGTAGATTGGGGTGCATGATTAATTGAAAATGATTTATCGAA